TCTGCACAGATCAAGCAGCGTTTAAACAGCTCTAAACACATATGTGGCTGGATTTTGATGCGAGAGACAACAGCAGATGCACATTTTCACTGGAAGAAGCGTTATGCATTATAGACTCGGATTTGGCCAGAAGCAACAGTTTAAACACCTTATTGTAAAGAGCAAAGGACATATTGCTCTTGTTGACAAAAACATTTAGCCATGGGTTTGATTAAAGCTTGATTTTTCCAAAGCAAACACATCAGCGTCTGGCAAAAGCCTTCATTCTCCATCAAGCTTATCAAAGAGAGACTATCCTGCTGAGTGTGTCTGTGTGTGTGAGAGTGAGTCTGTGTCTGAGTCTGTGTCTGAGTGTGTGTGAGTGTGTCTGTGTGTGTGAGAGTGAGTGTGTGTGTCTGTGTGTGAGTGTGTCTGTGTCTGTGTGTGTGTGTCTGAGTGTGTCTGTGTGTGTGTCTGTGTCTGTGTTTGTGTCTGAGTGTGTGTGTGTGAGTGTGTGTGTCTGAGTGTGTCTGTGTGTGTGTCTGTGTCTGTGTTTGTGTCTGAGTGTGTGTGTGTGAGTGTGTGTGTCTGAGTGTGTCTGTGTGTGTGTCTGTGTCTGTGTTTGTGTCTGAGTGTGTGTGTGTGAGTGTGTGTGTCTGAGTGTGTCTGTGTGTGTGTCTGTGTCTGTGTTTGTGTCTGAGTGTGTGTGTGTGAGTGTGTGTGTCTGAGTGTGTCTGTGTGTGTGTCTGTGTCTGTGTTTGTGTCTGAGTGTGTGTGTGTGAGTGTGTGTGTCTGAGTGTGTCTGTGTGTGTGTCTGTGTCTGTGTTTGTGTCTGAGTGTGTGTGTGTGAGTGTGTGTGTCTGAGTGTGTCTGTGTGTGTGTCTGTGTCTGTGTTTGTGTCTGAGTGTGTGTGTGTGAGTGTGTGTGTCTGAGTGTGTCTGTGTGTGTGTCTGTGTCTGTGTTTGTGTCTGAGTGTGTGTGTGTGAGTGTGTGTGTCTGAGTGTGTCTGTGTGTGTGTCTGTGTCTGTGTTTGTGTCTGAGTGTGTGTGTGTGAGTGTGTCTGTCTGAGTGTGTCTGTGTGTGTGAGAGTGTGTCTGTGTTTGAGTGTGTCTGTGTGTGTGAGAGTGTGTCTGTGTCTGTGTGTGAGTGTAAGTGTGAGTGTGTCTGTGTGTGAGTGTGTCTGTGTCTGTATGTGTGTGTGAGAGTGTGTCTGTGTGTGAGTGTAAGTGTGAGTGTGTCTGTGTGTGAGGGTGTCTGTGTCTGTGTCTGTATGTGTGTGTGAGTGGGATTAACTCCCACAGCTCAGAGGC